CACAGTATGAACACAACCGGGAAGGGTCTGGAGAAGTGTAGCTAAATCTCCCCAATGTACAGGTATTACAAAATAATTAATAATATTGTTGGATTATATATATATATAATAAATATATATAAATATTGGGCTATGGGATTATTACAGCCCTAACCACGACAGATTTAACACTTATGTCGTGCCACCGGTGAATGTGAAACATCTATAATGCGATCCTTACATGTGGATTATTCGTGAAAATACTAGTCTAGGATGAATTTATGCATTGTGTTTCGTGGATGAATCGGTTTCGTACTCTATGAGGAGTGGATCGTTCTACAAGTGTACAGTTCGTACACTATTTACATTTTTATTTTAAGTTTAATAAGATAATTAATAAGGACTGTCAATAATCGCACCTCGACGCCATTTAGGATAAAATATTTTTCTGGTTATATATTTAAATAATTCACATACATGCCTACACTAAATATTGGACTTCAATGTTTACAGTTTTATTTTAAATATATATTAAATTTATTACAAAAAAATGTGTAACCAAAATGATTAAACCAACCATCAAATATGCTTCAAAGAACATTGATTCAGAGCTTCATATCCGAAATCAGTATTTAGAGCAATATTAATGTTGATTTTCGGACTTTTTTCGCCACTGAGTTATAATTTATTTCCAATAACGTAAAACGTATATTTCGTATAATTATTTTTTATCTCAGGAATTTTAATTAAAGAATACTAGAGCTAATACATTTATAACGTTTTTTCGTAGATTTCAAAGTCCATTAAATTGAAGTGATGTTGTGTGCATACCAACATTATAAACTTCAGTATCATGAATATTCTATATGTATTTCTTTTAAACATCGGTATTCAACATTAAGAAATTCGTACTATTTTGATCAACAAACAGTTTTTATTGTTGATGATTGTGATTTAAACCTAACAAGAATTGATTAAGTGTTCCAAAGGCTTCACATGTGTTTCAACTTTATTTTAAACAATATAATTTCATAATATAAAACGCATATGTTCACTAGTGAAATCTATGTACATTTATAACTGTACCTATATATTTTATTAAACATATGGTATGATTAATTTTTAATTACATATTATGTACATATAAATGTATGAACTTACATGATGACGTAAAAAAATAATATATTTTAATAATGCATTCATAAATCAGAGTATAAATTAATCAAATGACAAAAATATGAAAGTTTTTATAATTCTTATAGAGTATACGAGTACTGTTAAATTACTGTTAAAACATTTTAAATAAATTATAAAAATAATAATATCATCAATTAACCTTATCTACTCAAGTATAAATAAATCAATTCGATAATTACGAGTATATTGCTTATAACATTTTTTTTTTTTTTACTATTTTGAACCATTAACTTAAGTATTCATATAAATAGTCGAGAAAATATTTAAAACATTTATTGAATATGACATGAGAAAAATTTTGCAAATTATAATTTGAATTTAATATTAAGAGCAACGATTAAATTTCATGACAATAAATTACGGAAATTATGATTTAAGTATTCTATGATGGGTTTTCTGGAATGCATAGTTATTTATATTTAAATTGCACTGATTAATATTATACTGATAGGTATTGGATTCATTTATTGATATTTTCATCTTGGAAAAAAAGAAAACATTGTTTGCTCAAACATTATTTAACATGAGTTTTTCATTGATAAATTTGATCTTTTTCGTCTACCGATAAACATATCATGTTAACTTACAAGACTTTATTTAAGATGGTATCGTGAGAATTAATTCCATCCTATGGGTCTAAATTCTTAGGTACAATAAAAATACATAAATATTCTAATGATAATAAAATTTTAATTTTTATCTGAAGTATTTGTAATAAAATCTCATCCCCTCCTTTGAAAGATACTGTAATACGTCACTAATAAGTAATAGGTTTTATATGATACAAGTGTTTGGATAAATTGTTATTCTATAAGTAATAACACATTTGATCGTTACTCATTCCTTAAAATGTTGTGAATATAACTTATAATATAGTATCCAAGATAAAAATTAAAATGTACGGGGTTTTTATTATTAAGTCTTAAGAGTATAATTTATAATAATTCGAAAAGATTTATAATCATGATGGTAAGTTTTTTATTTTTCTATAGCTCATACAGAAATTAATAATTTTATATTTTTCTATTTTAAGCTCGTCATAAGGTTTTAAATGGGATATTTTAGTTTTAATTTAACATTTTCGTACGGAGATTACTATTTTTATGAATTAGTTCTAGAATATTTTATTCTTATAATCTAAATAATTTATTCGATATTCTATATATTATATAAAATGTGATACATAAATTAATTGATATGTTTAAGTTAATTAATATTTTAATATCCCATACACCAATTGTGTCCTTAGGATTTTCAAAGGACATGAGGTTTGTGATTTTATTGTTTTTAATTATGTAGTACAACTTATTTACATATAATTTTGGCCCGTCGGAAGGAATTATATCCTTAATCCCACTCGTAAAAACTGTCATAAACCTACATACATAAAACTAAGGGAGTCTTTATTAAAAATTATATATTATATATACTCAGCTAATAGGCCACTAATACGAACTAGTAAAGAAAAGCACTGTTTCAAAGTTTTATATTTATAGATATAATATGTATCATAAGAGATTTGTATTTATTTATAACGATTATATTGAGTAACAAAACAGTTAGTTGTAAAAACAACAATGTAAAAAAAAACTAGAAATGTTTTTTGAAAAATGATATAATTATAAAAATAATAAATCATACTTTGCTAATTAATTATTATCACGTATTAACGCTAATAAGAGCTTCTAAAGGGCTTTAGTATCCACACGTTTTATCCAAATCTGAAGCTTAGGTTTATAAGTTTAAATTAATTAATATAATCTATAGTTATAACACATTATTGGGTCAAGTTGGGCGTATGATTGAAATATTATATAATAGTCTCTTAACAAAAATGTATTGACCCTAAAATTAAAAATAATCATAGTTTTAATCAAAATTGATGTAACTTTATTAAATGATGGCTATAGGTTACAAAGATTTTCGATTAATATAATTGCTTTAAATTAGTGGACAAAGGAAGATCACAATTCACGAGTATAAATATATAAATCAAAATTTGTATTATACAGTATATAATAGATACGGTAGTAATAATATAATCCATTTGTCCTGATGAACGGTTATTATATGTGGGATGGGTCAAAAAAATAGAACACTAAAATCTAAACTACTTCATAAATATATAGGAATTCAATATAAAATGGTATTGAGGTATTTTTTAGATGAATTATTTTAAGAAGCAATAAAATCATTGAGTGATCACCAAAGTAGATTTATGCCTAAATCATCGATGATTTTAGCGAAAAGTTAAACAACGAATAAAGAAGAATTCAAAGAGTTCTATTAATTATGGCTTAAAAATGAAAAAAAACATTCACATTAAAATAAAGTAAATTTTACAATATAGTTTGAAATATTTTTATTGTACTGAGTAGGACTTATGGGAATATTAGGCTCACTATAATTACTAATGTTTACAGTTTTTTCATACAAAACAGTCAACGGAAAACCTGTGAAGGACTTGAAGTGTTTTAACAGTATCTAAGTTTAGCATTCCATTCTTAGATTTATACAAAATACTGATTCAATAAGTTTAAATAGCTCTACAAATGGTCGTGGATAGTAAATTAAATTCGTGGATTTCGTTTAAAAATTGAAGAATTTGAATATTATAAACGTGTATTATAATACTTTGCGCAAGTATTTCATGAAATAGGAGCCGCATTTTAGATACTATAGGGCAATCGGTCGAAAAGAGCCATAATATATTTATGCATTCGTTCATAGTCTCGTACACATTGTATATGCGCGTAAAAGAACAAACAAGCAGAGAAAAAGTACGTCAATTCACTATAAACCGTTATTTAGGTTAATGCGATGCACGAATCCCTCGGAATAATTAAGGTACATACATTTATTATGTGTTTACAAAAAACATCGACAAGAAAAACCGTAGCCGTCGCTTGTTAGCATAGTCACCGTAATTTCTGTCAGCAATTTGTATACATAAAAAAAAATTTAACGACGTTCGCATTCGCGGTATTATACGCATAAGCGCAGAATTTTCGTGTCGGTTGTTAGGGAAGAGAGAGAGAGTGAGAAAGAATGAGAAATCGCTGAGAGTAGATCCAAATTTTTTAAACATTAGCTCCATCGAATTTTTATTGTGTGCGCGCGGGTGTGTGTACAAAAATGATTTTATATGCAAATTGTATTGGTTACATTATTCATTGGAACTCGATCGTCTCCGTTAACGTTAGTAAAACTTCGTTTCTGCGTTCGAAAAGAGGGAACAAGGAAGAAAAAAGAGATAGAGATAAATGTACGTCACTACCCCTATGCGTAAATATGTACACAACACTTGTATGACATAAACTTAAGCCCAAGGGTTTACGGTGTACACACGTAGTAGTGTATTGTACAAGAAAAGCGTGTTCAGCGCATAGGCGTGGTGATGGTACGGCGGCGAAGTGAAGATTTGTTGCGGCCGCCGCTGGAAATTCGATATCGGATGTTGGGCGGCGCGGGTGGGTAGCGAAACTCTATTGGTATGCCCTTTCGGGTAGCGGCGGCGGCGTCGTGGAAAAACATATGCGGAAGACTAAACAGAGAGAGAGTGAGGGACGGACGGAGATGAGCGGACAGAGAAAAAAAGATAGAGAGAGAGAGAGAGAAAGTAATAAGACGGAAGAAACGAAGGGCTGGAGAGGCGAGCGCATGCGATTTTTTGCGAGAAGAAAAATGAAAAAAAAATAAATAAAATTAATTAAAATAAAGAGAAAGAGAAAAACGAGTTTCGGATGAACTGCTCGGCGTGTGCGCGTGCGCGCGCGCGCGCTCGCCGCCACTGTCGCCGCGCTAGCGTTCATGCGGTCGTGGGCCGCGAGTCCGAACGTGCTCGTGCAGTACACCCCCAAGAAGTCATGCAGCATCTCGGTGATTCGGCGAAGGATCTCCGCAGTACGTCGTGCCATCGCGCATTGCCGGCGACGCGCCACTACGTGTAAGGACGTAACATTTCCGTTTCCCGTGTCCTTTCCGACGCGCATAACAACAACGACAACTGCTCATAACAGTACAATATAATATATCAAGTACCACTGCGTGTTTAGTGTGCGAAATATTACACCGTAGAATACCTATACACATACGTTAAATGTACGTAGACACTTAAGCGCACGTATCAGTGCGTCGCACACGTCGTGCGTGAGATTGCACGTAGAACAAGATAGGTGCATACAT